ATTTATGCAGCGTGTGATGCGACAACCGATTGCCGCACAAAATGTGACGGGAGTCAAAGGCGCAGATGGCAACGACACCGCATCGTCATCTTCGATGCCCGCCACGGTTTACCCGCAGCAACAGCAGCAACAAATATCCAACATAATCGCATCCCTCCCCGTGGGAACACAGGATCAGGCGATGGAGATGGTCAAGTTAATTGAAGAGCGTCGTGCTCGCGAAGACTCCAAGTTGTGCAACTTCCAGCGCATCTACCCCACAACGAACGCCGCACATCAGCTCATATACGAAGCCATCCTTGCGCAGGCCCGAACCCAGTGTGTCTCACCGCGGCCAGCGTGGGTGAGTTCGCCGACACCAGCATCGCCACAGGCAATAGAGGAGCGTTCCCGGCGTTTTGATGCCTCATCGGTGGGTTTTGCCACGCCCCAACGCATCACCCCAGCGGCAATGAGCGTGAGAGACCGAAGTAATTTACCGACACCTTCTGAATCAGCCACAGATTCCCTAAATTTACCCTCAAATTCTTCTACTCTCTCGAGAGGGCAACAAATGCAGAAGCTTTGTGAAGAAATGAAGCAAACTCAGCGCCATGCCAAAACGACCCCGCGGACCGCTCATGTTATCAACCACACACTTCAAAATAACGGTGGGGCCGGCAACGAAAACCAACACTCTACGGATGTACCGTTGAATTCACCATCATCGGCCGAAAAGGCAACGAATATCTTGGCACAGGAGAGGAAGCGTCCGGTGCTGGCCCGTCTATCTGTGATGGGAGATGCTGAAGGCCCTTCAAGAAAGTTACATGTCATCACCGCGAGACTGACGCCCTGTGGACCCCCTAACGTAATCTCCGTTGACAGCTCTGCCACAAACACAGAGCGGATTGAAGCGATGCGGAGTCTGCAGGAGCGTCTTGATCAGGAAGCTGAATGTGAGCACTCTCCGTCCTCTGGGAGTGCCGATGAAAATTCATTTGGCTTGGATGAGGAGTAGGTGTGAGCACTGGCTTCCAGCTCTCGTATATGAGGGTTGCCTTCTCTTTTTTTTTCTTTTCTTTTTCGTCTTCCTTCTCATTAGTGCTGTTGGTGTTTTTTTTTTTTCTTCTTCTCTCGACAAACGTTAAAAAACGAAAATTAAAAGTGAAAAAAGCAAGCAGGCAAGCGATGAAACAACAAAACAACAACAACAACAAAAAAAAATAAATAAATAAATAGAGAAAGAGGTGTAAAAGAATAAAAATAAAAATAAGAAATGAACAAAATGCTTCTGAAAGAGTTGTGGAGTATAAATTGACCATCGGCTCTCCATTAGCGATGGTAGTAGTCGTCGTGGTCGATGATGGGGGGCCTTGTTCTCTCACACATTCGCACACACGCATACACACACGTACATTTCTCTTAATTGACGACACGCATATTCTCTTTTGTCTCATTCCTCTCTGCATTTTGTTGTTTTTCACGTGCCAACGGGGTGACTGTGGGACAAAAGAGAGAAAAAAAGGGGGAGGATCGAACGGGAAATCGGGCAATGGAAAGAGTGTTAGGAAAGTTGATAACGAGGAGCGGGGCTGTAATCACAGGCCGATTAGAAAAAGGGGGTTAGAAGCATGTCTGACAGAAGGGCAGATGAAGATGATTGTGTTGATGTGCCTGCTGTAATGCAAAAAAAAAAAAAAAAGAAAAAAGAAAAATGTAATATTAATCTGCACGTGCGATGCTTGCTTTCTTTGAAACTTGAAAGCAGATGCTTGCGTGAAGAGATCTAACGTCTTCATCTTGATTTTCTTTGCTTGTTTCTTTTTTCTTTGGAAGTTGTTTTTAAAACGTGAAGTTGATTTTTTTTTTGCCGTTTTTTTCTTTGTTTGTTGTGGGCGGTGGTGGTTGATCCCTTTCTATTTCTCTGATCTCACTCCCACTCTCACTTGTTCTCTTTCCATTGTGTGGCCAAATTCTTTCGGTGGGCTGGAAGTGGGTGTAGAGTAGAATAGAAGTGGACTGTCGTGGTGGGAAGGGAGACAGCGAAAAGGACAATGGCGTGCAGTGCCCGATCCTCTGATAGCAGCGGTAGCAGAAGCAGGCAGGATGCATCCTTCTACACTTCGCCTTCGCCACACACTCCATCATCTTTTTTTCCAGTTTTTACATCTTCACCCTCGCGGAGCCAGGTGTATGGCGCGCAAGGATGGCAGGGCGTTGAAATTGCATCGCCGCCATTACGTGAGAAGACTGAGAAACCAAATGCGGTGGAAAATCACCCGGTGGAGCCCAAAGTTGCCGCCACTTCGGAACCAGCCTGCATTTTATACTCGAAGGGTGTCAAAAGGTATGGAGTGCCATCGACTCCAACAGCCTTCTCCTCCGCAAGTACAGTGGGCTTGACGTGTTCATCTTCGTGTAAGATGCGCGAGAGAGACCCCAACACGTACAAGAGAGATGTGGAGTGCAGAGTGGCGGTGGATCCAGCGGCACAGCGAGATTGGGCACGTAGCCTGCAGAGGTGTTTGCTGGAAACCGAGACAAAGGCACAGGAATTCCGCGCTACTGCGGAACGACGAGAGCAGGAAGCTCGTGTAGCGGCTGAGGAAGTCATACGTCTTCGTGAGTTGACATCCTTGCAAGCAAAACGTATTGAAGAACTGGAGCAACGTCTTGCTCATGCCCAGTTCGCCACCGCCGGCGCCAAAGAAGCCGATGCAGTTGAACAAACAAGAGTCTCCGCAGACAGTGACGCATCGTTGGAAGGTTTTTCTATCGCTGACGTCAAGCAGATTGTTCACTGCGCGGCGGAGGCATTACGACGCATTGAAGTTGAGTTTGAGGCGGAGAAGCACCGGCGGTGCGTCGTTGAGAAGGAAAATAATGCTCTTAGACGCCAAATATGCCTTTTAAGGCGGGGGAAAGTTGTATTCCACGAAGACTGCACGACTTGCTGCAAAGAAGCGAGGCACAATTGTGCCATGGCATTTGTGCAGGGTCCACTGCGGCGATTTCTTGCAGAGTCAGCAGATCTGCAGGAGAAGTTGACGACTTCTTCCGCGCGTCGCACATCTGTACATTCTTGAATTGTCTTTAGATGGAAGATCCGCGTGTAGACGTTATTTGTTGCATTTATAATTTTTTTTCTTTTTTTTTTTCATTTGTTGCTGGAGTGGAGAGAATCCAACACGACGAGGACACGGAGAGATCTTGGTTCCGCCAAAGGAGCTACGGTGTGGCTGGGCATGAACTCCAGCTGTCGTCCTCCAGATATGTAATTTTTATTTTTTTCTCTATTTTATCATGCACTTCATTCCATCAGATATCAAGGAATGCCTCCCAAACGTGGTTCCGCGGCCCGCGGAGTGCGACGCGTGGAGACACCCCGCATGGCCCGCGAAAAACCCTCGACAAGGGCTGAAAAAGGAGTTGCTCCTTCAGTGGCGGCAGAAACACCATTAGAAGCAGCTGCAGAGGTCTCGCCGGAAGATTTGTTTTTGACGCCGCCCCCGCAGCAGCCAGCTGACAAGGAAGAAGCGACAAAAGAAGCTCTTCCATCCGCCACTGTCTTGTCTTTGAGGGACGAAGTCATCTGGAGCGACGACGACAACGACGACGACGACGATGGTGTGTTCTTGTTTCCCGATGCACAAGATCTGGTCGAGGTGAAGGAATCCAACCCGGACGTTATTCGTGTTGGTACGACGCAAAAGTTGGATGAGTCAGACAGCAGCGAGGATGAGGCAACACTAAACCGCGTCGGGGACATTCCACTTGAGTGGTACAAGGATGAAACGCACTACGGGTACGATGTTGAGGGTCGTAAGCTGATGAAAAGCGAGCGCTCCGCGTTGGAACGTCTGTTGGATGCGACGGATGACCCCAACGCAATGCGAACCATCTACGATGCCCTCCATGACGAAAAGAAAACATTGAGCAATGCGGACCTGCAGATGATATTTAACCTGCAGCGCAACCGCACGCCAAATGCAAAATACAACATGTACGCCGATGTGTTGACGGATAGCGTTGAGTTTGACTTTCTTAATCACCCTTTGGCGCGAGGAGGAGGACCGTCCAAGAAAAAGTTTATTCCTGCTCCAAGTGACATGAAGATCATTGAAAAGATGGTGCGTCGTCTTAGGAAGGCAGAAGAAAACAAAACCGATGAAAAGGAGGAGACTCCACTTGATGAGCCTCTTGTGATCTGGGACGACGGTAAGGTAGAAATGGATCCCCACACCAAGTTCAAGTATCAACACCGCGTGCCAAAGCCGAAGGTTCCGCCTCCAGGCACATATGAGAGCTATCGTCCACCACCGGAGTATCTTCCGAGTGAGAAGGCGCGACAGCGGTTTGCCAGGCTGCGACCGATTGACAGAAAAGAGCACTTTCTTCCACAATCCTTTGACGCGCTACGACATGTTCCCTTTTATCACCACACGATCCAAGATCGATACCAACGCTGTCTTGATCTCGCCTTCTTTCCGCGTGCACAACGGACCCGTCTTGTTGTGTCACCATCGGAGCTTCTACCAGAGTTGCCTGATCCGAAGGACCTTCGACCGTATCCAGAGCGCCTTTCATTCCAGTATAAGGGCCACACAGCAACGGTGCGCAGCGTTTCTGTCAGTCCCAACGGACAATTTCTTGCAACAGGATGTGACGACCATTTAGTGCGCGTCTATGAGGTAATGACGGGCCGTCTGATGAAGCGCTATGACATGGGGGCTCCTGTGCAGCAGGTTGAGTTTTGCCCTGTAAAAACACTCAACATCTTAGCAGTTGCCGTGGAATACAGTCTTGTCTTTATTGTCCCCAAGTTTGCTGCTCATCAGGTGGTGAATGAGCACACGATTCGCCATCTTCGTGCCCCTGGCAGTACAGCGAATGAACCAATGGAGAATCACATCACTGGGGGAGAAATGTCACTTGGAGGAGCTGGCATCACGCAGATGACACTGGACAAGGATGAATCTGCTCATCGTCTTGTAAATGATCTGCATGACACGGAGGAACGTGAGAAACGCGCAGAGTTTGTCGATGCTTCAGTTCAGGAGCGCAGTGCCGGTATTGTAGTCAAAATTGCATTGCATGGCAAGGTGAAGCGCTTCACGTTCC